GTTTCCTTACCACACAGGTTAACGTCATCGGTGCTAGAAGGGAGGGGGGGTTGCAGAGAGGAGGAGGAGGAGGAAACTGCGGGGGGGCGGGGTCCTTGGGGCTCTCTGAGCTGGCTTGTTTCCTCGCAGACATTTCATTACCAAACTAGGTGACATCATCAGTGCTAACGATGATGCACTGGCACTGCTGATGTTTCTGGAGTTCGGAGAGCCCCCAGGACCCCGCAGGATTGCTTCCCCCCAGGTCCACCTCCCCAAGAATGCCGCCTGGGAGTGGACCCTTTGGATCCCCCTCCCCCTCCCCTCCCCCGGTTATAAAATCCAATCTTCTCGTTTCCTTCTGGGTATTTTTGCTTTTCTTCTTGTGTCATTTCACTGCTGTGTCTGCTTCTTTTATGGCTAGCTTTGTTTATTACTTCTGGAGTGTTTCTGCTTTCCCTTGGTGACGTTTCTGGTTTTCGGAAGTTTCAGAACTTTGATTTTGCTCAGACCGGTTTCTCGTCGCAGACCAAGGCCTCTGACTCGGATGGCGTCATCCCTGCTTCAGTCCAGAGCCATTGCCGGGCCAGAGGAACCTTTCCAGGCAGCCTGGCCTGGAGCTCGGTTGTCCACCCTTCCCCGCCGACCGCTCTGAGTGCAAAGGACAATGTCTCCCGTTGACTCTGGGCCAGAGGTGGAACCTCTCCAGGGTCCCTTTACTACCCTGGCCCTGCAGGTCTCCCAGGGACGCAAACACGCCTCATCGTGCTAAACCAAACCCTGGACCCCCAAGCAACCTAGCACAGGCCTTGTCTGGGGGGGTGGGGTGGAAATGCAATATCCTACCAGGCGCTTAGGATCCCAGAAGGGTAAGTCCCTCTTATTGACCACTCCGCCTGCTTAACTTGGACCCGGGGAAGAGCAGAGTCGCCTTGTCGGCTCAGCTTCACAGTTATTTGACATCTCCATTAAAAAAAATCCCTCCCAGTTCTTACAGCAGTTTGGAGAAGCACCTCCAACTAGGGCCCTTTTCTCTCCATTCTTGCATGTCTTAGAGCTGTTGGTTGGGCTTTACACCAAGTTGGTTTTTTCTCGCTTGACTGGCAAGAGATGGAAAAATTGCACTCCAAATTCTGATGGGATCTTTCTGTGATTTTCCTCTTGGCCATTATCCGTAAGCTGGCCCATTTGTTGACCTCCATCTCAGACTAAAAGTGTTTCCCATATTCATTTTGTAACGCATGGGTACATTGTACATTGAATAGACTGAATCATTAAATGCACAGCACCAAAGGTTTTTAAAACATTCAAAGTATCCACGCAGCATTTTGATGAAGCCAACCAACGAAACTCTCAACATAAAGTTACAGGCCGGCAAGGACGCCAATGATTCTTTGCATCCTTGCAAAGAATGGCAGATTTGGTGGGAGATGCCAAGGTAGCTGGAGACGTTGGGCGCAGGCATGAGGCAGCTCTGCTTTCTAGGTCGGTTCCTTCTGCCTCTGGTGAGCAAGGACCCCAGGCTGCTACGGAGAAGAAGGCCTGAAAGACCTACTTGGAGTGGGTCTGTCCTGGGGGGATCACGGGGGATCCCCTCATGGTGCTTTGGGAAGGAACCCAGGCCATCCTGGCTCACCTTAGGAAATCCTCTGCTCCTTCAGCTGAGAAGGGGCAGGCAGGAGAACTCCAGTTGCACTGATGTCCTTGCTGTGGGTCTAGGACAACTTGCCACAGCCAATTCTCCACGGGACAAAGAGTTACTCTAACATCGAAGAAATGGTGGAAGAGAATCCTTAAGGAAAGGATGCAAAAGGAGGGGCAGAATGAAATGGGAACGGCAAAAACTAAAATTATTTGAAATAATTCAATGGAATTGTTGAATTCTCCTGTGGCAAGTTGTCCCATTCCAGCCTCAAGCCCACTATCTTTCAACCCTTGGCCACTTCATGTGCCTTGAGCCGTGAGCCTCTCTGTCTCCTTCAGAGAGTGGACACAGGCACCAGAGCTATCTGGACAGGCTCTGAAAGGATCCAGTCATCGCTCCAGAGAGTCTAAGCTCTTGGATCTTGGTTCAAAAACTCAAAGACAACTCCTCCTGGGAACTGAGACTTCTCTGGTGACAATCTCCCTCTTCAACTAATTAAGGTTTCTTGGGATCAAAAGTGGACCTATAGATAAGATTGGTATGTTTCCAAGAAGGGGTCTCTGGACCGACCCTTCCATTCAATGGGTGTGCCACTGGCTACTCCTGGTGGAGGAATGCAGGAAGAATGCTGGGTGATTCTGGGTGTCAGGTTAGGAACAAGGAGAGAACAATAAAATGCCAGGTGCATTTGTGGAATCGGGGTGAAGAGGCAGGCAGTGAGATCTTGGCCCAGACAGAAACAGGAAGAGACCAGTATAACACAGATTGATTTTGCGAGCATCTCTAAGGATGGGAATAACAAATTGGTTTCCAGTTGAACTGTTGTCTGTGGGCGTCCAGGCTGAAATGTCCGTTCATGAAATACAGGCCTGTTTGTTTCACGAAGCTCTGCCGTTGTCTGGAGCACCGGGAATTCTTAGAGGCCCGGCCTGCCAGGGAACTAGAGATGGAGGCCCAGCAGCTGGGAAACCTGTTGTTCAATGTCGATATCCCTAGTTAGAGAAGAATGTAGGCTAGCGGAAGAGAAATTCTAGGATGACGGGCAAACTCTGAAAGGTAGTTAACCTGGTGAGTGTTTATGGAGCTGTGGAAATGGTCTTTGAATGGGCTGAGGGCGGTCCCAGTTCTAAAGACGGGAAATGGGTCTTCCAAAAATACAGTGGATTTGGTCGCCTATTTTGAGACTGGCTGTGTTCGCATGGCAGCAAAAACACCTTAGTTGAGAAGCATATGGCGCTATTTCTGAAGTACTCATTAACCAAACGACGTGTGTGTGCCTGTGTGTGTGAGAGAGAGAGAGAGACTGAGTTGAAACTGAAATTGTGCGTTCAAATTAAAATGGGACAAGAGCAACAATCAGAGCCGATTGGCTCTGATTGAGCTTCTAGGCCATTTGAGGGAATTAAAAATTGCATTGGCCACTTCAGAAAATATCACCCAACTGATCTGGAATTGCCAAGAGTTCCTGATTCTTCCCAATGTCCTTCCATCCAGCACAATTGTGGGTCAATGAGTCATAAACGCACCTTGTCACCCCTGGAAGCTGTAGTGGAGCCATCAAACTATACAAAGATATGAATAAGGTACAAAGACTGAATTATGAAGAAAATATCTCATTATGTCATTAAAATGCCTGTTGAACCAAGTACTTAACAGTGCCCTGGATCAAAGGTGCTTTGAGGTGGAGGTGTCAGCTCTGTTGAGTTTGGGGCAAAATGTTATGCTGGCTGGAGAATTCTGGGAGTTGAAATCCGCAAGTCTTAAAGTTGCCAAGTTTGGGGACCCCTGCTCTAGATTATCGCAAGAAAGGTTTGTGTCCCAGGAAAAATCAAGAGGAAAAAAGTCTAATCTGTTTGCCAGATGTCCCCAAAGGTGCCTTTTCCCAAGCGACAACTGGACGTTCTTTGTTTTGCTTCCCAGAACTGGAGAAGCTTCTTGGGTGAGAAGTGAAACATCTTCAAGGAAAAAAACCAAGAAAGTCCAGTTGCCTCTTGGGAAAAAAGAGGGACATCTTTGGGACAACCGGGACCACCTGGGTGATGATGATGGAGATTCTCCGTAGACATATTTGCCAGAGGGTGATATTAAATCAGAATGTAATCCGAGAAATAAGTGTTTTACCCAGGTACTGCTGTACAATATGTAATACACGTGTGTGCAAATATGTATGTAGGTGCTACGTATGTACATGAAATACCGCTACTGTGTGCATCAGAGTTTCTTCTATTCAACATGCCTCCAGGATCACAACAACAAAATTTGGTGGCAAGCTGCCCATTTTCATAATTAGATTTTTGTGGTTTTAAAATTGGGGTTTAACCTCTGCTAGGCAGCACCCTTATTCCACATCTAACATCTGATCCCAGGCTTGGCTGACCTTTAGGAAGGATGGTGAAATACCTTTGATCTTCCAGTGAGGTCAGCTGATCACTAAAGCTCCTTTAGATCCTTGCAGGCCAAAACATGCTAAGAATTTCCGATCTTTTCTCTGAAAGGCAGGAAGTATTTGTTTGGCACTGCTAGAAGTTGCAATAGCCCTGGCCCTTAGACTTATATGCCGCTTCCCTGTGCTTGTATAGCCCTCTTTAAGCGGTTTACAGAATCGGCCTCTTGCCCCCTCCCCGCCGTAACAATCCGGGTCCTCATTTGACTGACCTTAGAAGGACCGCCCGCAGTTGTGCACAGATGTCTTCGCAGATGTTAAAAAGCCTTCAAGGAAAAAAGGAATGAAGGACAGACTAATGTCTCCAGCAAATTTTGCGGAGACTGGAACTTGCTCATAATCATGGAAACGGATACCCGGCCGGGAAGAGACAGAGAGGGGAGGGGAGGACCAAGGAAGTTCTAAGCTGTGAACCATCCTGTGGCAAGCAGCGAATCTCTGGGTGAAGAGGCTCTCTTCATGCGCGGCTTCATCCAGACTTCCGTGGGGCAGGCAATCCACCAGAGCTGTTCTAAACCACAGGTACCAGCCAAACAATGGAGAACCGGCCCGTTTCCCCCGCAGCAGCTTCGGTGCTGCTTCACAGGGGAGCCATAGTGGGCGAGGGAAGGCAGACGTTCACGGACTCCTCTTTCACAGATGGCAAAGCTCACAAAACATAATTCATTTTCATTACTCAGCGCTTCCAATATTTAGACAATATGTAACGAAACCGAAAATTGTGTTTTGGATGCAGTGCAAGAAATGTTATAGGAAGGCATCTGACATGGTAATTTGGGGCTAATGGTGGTTTCTCGGGAGAACTTGGGGCGTTGGGTGCATCCTCTGGGTTGACGGGTCTTCAGAAGCATAAGACGCGGAAGAGCTTCCCAGAGGTGGCTCCTCTTTGGAGAAGGATCCCCGCACAACTCACCCTCTGCTTTGTGCCAACAGGTTCCTGCTTCTGGGTGGCAGTGCTGAACGGCAACGTGGTGGGCATTGTGGCGGCCCGAGGCAACGAGGAGGACAACACGGTGGAATTGCGCCGCATGTCAGTGGACTCTAAGTACCGTGGTAAAGGGATCGCCAAAGCTCTGGGCCGGAGAGTGCTGGAGTTCGCCGTGCTCAACAACTACTCCTCTGTGGTGCTGGGGACCACGGCAGTGAAGGTGGCAGCCCACAAGTTGTATGAGTCCTTAGGCTTCAAGCATGTTGGGCTGGTGGAACACTATTCTCTGCCTGGAATGACCCACTCGATTCTAGAGCAAATCTTCTTCCAGCTTCGCTACCACCGCTATTGCCTGCACCTGCGTGAGGAATGAGGGAGCCCCGTCTTCAGGGCCGCCCTCCCCAGAACCTCCTGGCCAGGGTTTTGCGGGGGGGGGGGGGGGTTGTGCCATGGTTTCTTTGCCATCTCCTCCTTTCGCGTTCTTCATTGGCTTTGTACAAGTTCTTGTACAAGGGAAGGGCCCTTCCTCTTCTTCTTCTTCTTCTCCTCTTCTGAAAGGCTTGTAGGGTGACAGCAGCGCTAACGCTGGAGACAGGGCGGACCTGCCCTTGGCCTGACCTGGGCCAAGCTCAGGATGGACACGTTCGCTCTCCCAGTCTTACCCCAGTTAGCCCACCTAAGCACAGAAACGGCAATGCGTAACAAGGCTGCTTGCCTGACGTGGGTTAAAAATAATAACAACAATTAATAATCTCCTTTTCCCCTCCCCCGCCCCAAGTATTAAGAAAAGCGATACTTCATGATACAGCTCAGTGCAAAAGTTTTATGTGAATGCATTTCTCAGTATTTTATGAAGTAGTATGCATTCATGTTCTCAAGGTATAATACCGGTTAATCTTGCTGAAAAAAAAATGTGAAAATCCTGCTTGCTATAATGCATGAAGAGGAACTATTTGCATGCATTCAGACACACTACGAAGTAGGCGCTAATAATAATAATAATAATATTAATACTAATAATGCACTTTCTGGATGTACCTCCCCGGGGCCTAAATTCTCAAGAATATTGGCACCTCTCACACCTGGGCCCTTTATCCTCGTTTTCTTCTTCCTAAGCCAGCAAATACAAGCCCTGAGCCCAATGTAACATATGTAAATGACTGAAATATCAAATATGCGAATGTAGATAGACTTCGAGGTCCCCTGCCAGAAATCCCCACCCAGAGTGTTAATTTTCCTTTATTGAGGAGTTTTGTTTATTACGTTTGCTTAAACAACCCAAATGCTTCGCTTTTGCGGACTGGTTTCCCAGAGGCAAAACGGAGACTTCTGTTTCTATGGCAACACACCTGTACGCAAATAATGTGCACCAAATCTAAACGCTTCAGAAAAAGCAATACGCAAGAGAGAGAGAGAGAGAGAGAGAGAGAGAGCTGGAGCTGCCGGTTTCAGCTGAAGGGGGCCAGGGAAGCAAAGAGGGTGGTTTAATCGGTTGCTTCTTGCTAGTGGAATAGCAAGTCTAGAAGAGCTGACCTACAACGCCACTGCTGCTTTAACAGTTATGTCATATTTGTGAGTTGTACAGCTCCATGCAAAAAGCGATGCAACGCAACAGAGATATGGCATGCTACCTGTTGGAGCCCAGCACGAAAACACCTGTGAAGTTGCAGCTTCTTCTGCCTTGAAATACCAACTTCTATTTCAAGAGTAGCAACTTCTGCGTTCATGGTAACCGAATAGAAGTCAGGCAGCTCAGGGGTTTAGAAGGCAATCGGTTCAGAAAAACTCAGAAGTTTTCGGGGTTGCATTTAATTGGGGAGGGGGGATTGAAGAGCTGAGCTTGATAAAAGCAGCTCTCCTTTAATAGTTCCTCCGGTTGAATCATATCGTGGCAGAAATTGGGTCGCCCCCCCCCCACCCGATTGGAGGGAGAAGGTCCCAGGGGTGGATGGAGCCGAGGGGAGATGAGAGTAGAAGGACCCCCCACCCACCCCAGTCAGTCCTTTGGCCTGTCAACGGAGGAGAGAAGCTGCGTTTCTATTCGGTGGCAGGGAGACTGTTTGTATCTTGCTGTCTGGTCTTAAAATGAGGACTGGGTGGGAAGATAGCAAAGGCTGCCCTGCATGAAGAGAGGCTGCCCTGAGTGTTCCTCGCTTCGGGCTCCTGGTGAGGATCCTGCAGCCCCTTCCCCATCACTGGGCTCCATCCTTACCCAGGGAGGTGATGGGAGAGGGGGCTTCCTCGTTGCTCCCCCCTCCCCCCGCCCGTCGCAAGCATGGAGCAACTTGGACGATGAGGCTCTTCGGGCTGATGACCAAATAAAGGGAGAAGGATGGAGGGAGACGGTTCTCGGCTTCAACGGTGACGGCCTTCCTGCCTCAGGTGGCGCCGGGAGCTTAAAAATGGCCAAACCAAACTGTGTCCCAGCAATAAAACCCTTGATCCGCACTAGAGACTGACTTGATGAGCAGAATGTACTTCTTGGAGCCGAGTGTGTGTGTGTGTGTGTGTGTGTGTGTGCGCGCGCGTGCCTCTCGATGTAGAATGTATTTTTTTTTTTTTAAAAAGGAAAAATTCTATGCTGTACATTTCTCTTGAAGCTCAAATGTGTACCATTTTTGGGGGGTGGGTGGGGGGTGGGGAATGTAGGATAGAGGTGTGTATAGTGTACAGAAATCGGTACGATATTTTATAGCTGTTTTTGGTGATTACCTTCAATTGCGTAACCCAGATGACTATTATAAAGTGTTGGGGGGAAAAGGGAAAGGGAGGAACTGCTTGTGCCTTTTAATTTTTTCCTTTTCCTTTTTGTGTTCTTGTGTTATCCTTGCACTAAATGGTTTCTGGAGAATTAATAGTACTATACAGCCTAATGAATTGGACGGTGAGAGTGTGCACGGCCTCTTTGGACTGCAATTGATTTTTATTGAGGCACTTTAAGGACGCGGATGGTCCGCTGCTCGAAGATGAGGGGAAAGGAGGAGATTTCCTCTGTCGTAGCTGGGGGATCCAACGCCAGGCGGGGAAGTCTGCGCTGCGAGGCCTCCACACTGAACTGTCCCTGTACGATCACCTTTGCGCGATTGCATACGGGGGCGAGGGGGCTTCTGGAAATGCACAGGTTCTGAAGTGTCGCTTCTCTGGCTTTGACTGAGTTCTTTGGTGCAGTTAGCGGAAGGCCAAGGGATCTCTTGCCCGTCTAGTTGTGTCTTCTTTCCACTTCCGTACATCAGCAAAGGGCTGGCAGAAAGCACCCTTGACCTCTCTACCTGGCCTTCTCTCACCTGGCTTTTCCACCTATCAGGAGCCCATCAGGAAAGAAGCATTAAATCTCTGCAGCGAAGGAGTTACAGAGGACGGAGGGCTGATGAAGGAGAGGAGGGCTTGAAAGGTGGACGGGACACACTGCTGGGTGGGGGGAGGGGGGTGCTTTTAGCTAGAAAACAATGGGCACCGGAAGTAGAGGATGCCGGGAGGGACTTGTGTAACATTCAAAGACCAGGAATAATGGGGAACACATATTTCAGGTTAAAGCTAGAAGGAACAATGCTCTCCCATGAGGTGGTTTTACCTTGGAGGGGAAAAGAGATTTAAAGGAAGCAGGAAACAAACGTTTCCATCAAATCTTCATCGATCAAAGGAAGAAGCCACAGATTGTGGTGTGGGGGGATTTTTGAGCATTTTGGAGCTCTTGAGAGGAAGTGCAGCCAATTGCAATCCTCCAGTGAATTATCCAGCATATGCTTTCATCTACAACCTGATTTTTTAAAAATAAAAAATTAGGGATATATGTTTTTGAAAAAGATGTAGCAATGATGCCTGCACAGAACTGTACCGGTTGACCAAACCCTTTTCAGAGAGGATGGAGGGAGGGAGGGAGGGAAGGAAGGAGAGAGAGGGAGAGAGAGAAGGAGAGAGAGAGCGCACAACCAATAGCAGCTTAAGTGTAGACTTGTGGTGTGGTTCTATGCATCCTACCTCGCAAACAAATCAATTAGGCCACGTTCAGTCGACCTGTTTCCAACCAGCTGCACATCGATTTATGGCCAGTAGAAGGACCTTCCTGGCACCAGCAAGGCCACAGCTTCAGGTGGCGACCTTCCCCACGTAGGAGGGAGGCCTGCGTTCCTAAGACTGGCTTGATCACGGGCAGGTTTCTCCTGCAAAGGCTGCCGTTCTCTTGTTTTGGGTGAGGGGGGGGGAAGCAGAGGCCCCTGAGGCTGCGCTGGGCTGGTCTTTCAGGGGGAACTGGATGAGGCCCGACACCAGTTCCTGGGCCGATGGGGAGCAGAGGCAGCTCTTGGGGTAACCCCAGGCCTGACTGAAGGGGGCTGACCCTGAGGGATCTCCTGGGGCCAAACGCCTGGATTTCACCCCCAGATTTCTGTGTACTGCTGGCTTTTTTGCTGCCTCATTTCCACAGCTACCACTTGGAAATATCCCCTTAGCCAAAGTGACACAGCAAAGCGGTTATTTATGAGGATAGTTTTATTGCGGCCAACGCACGGACACCGCTTTTTATAGGCTGCAAAACCCAGGCAAAAAGATCTCCCTTCCCTAACTTGGATTTCTTCTGTGAGTAAGGAAGGGTTTCCTTTCTTTCTTTGAATCATGGCTTGGAGGAAGCGGGCCAGGAGTTCTGGCATTGAGGCCTTTATCACAGCTGTGGCTGTCAATCAAGGCGGCCCCGATCCTTCAGTCCAAGACCCACCACAGGTGTCCCAGCAGACGCGGAAAAGCTTGAACCAAGCTTCAATCTCACAGTTGAGGCCACCTCTCGTGACTCCCTCGGCCCCTTCCCTGTGGACCTCTCTACTTTATCATGATGTCCACACATCATGGCTTAATCGTTTCATTGATCAATACGCAACCTCTTCGTTGATTCCTTCCTGGAACTTGTTGCGTCACAGAAATTTAACTCACAAAGCCAGGGTTCTTACTCAACCTCTGCTGAGTTTCTGTCCTATGGCTCCCATCAGCTGCATCGTTCCAAAATCGTCCCGTGGATAGATACATTTTTGGGTTTTTTGCCTTGCATTCCGGTACATAAAACCAAGCAGCTGTATTCTTATTTTGTCTGTGTCTGGTTTATGGGCTTCATAAGGTGCACCAGTTTATAAGAACCGCACAAATGCTTTGGAAAAGGGTGTTTCATAATAAGGGAGGGTCCTCACAAAGCCCCCCCCCATCTTCAAACCAGCCGTATCTTTTTTTTGAGACTCACACACGACAACGTTGGACGCAGTTTCCGGCTGCCTCCACGCGTGTGTGCATTGCATTCACTTCTGGGGTTTCTGTGCAAGGCTGGAAATGGGCTTGCAGGCTGCAAAGCTCCCCTTTGGAAGCCTGGCCACTGACTCACCCAGAGGGGTC